AACGTAATAATCAAACACAAAACAGAGTGCACGAGGCACTAACGTAATAATCAAATACAAACAGAGTGCGCGAGGTGCTAACGTAATAATCAAACACAAGACAGAGTGCGCAAGGTACTAACATAATAATCAAACACAAAACAGAGTGCGCAAGGTACTAACGTAATAATCAAACACAAAACAGGGTGCGCTGTAGAATTTTGAGATAGAATTTGAAGCTTTTTTGTTTTTCATTGCAGCTGAAACATTCGTTTGGTCAAAAAGAGAAAGATGCCCAGGTAGTTTTGAATTAATTAATTTTTGTTTCTTTTTTTCTAACCCGATGTTGCACTGAAAGTTGCTGATGGCTTGAAAAACAGTCATCCAATGTCCCAAACTGCTTTTTTAGTAACTTACAATAAATTGCTTTTAGACTAAGCTTGAAACTACGAGTAAACGTAAAGTACAATCTTTCCTCGGAAATGTTTGCAATACAGATAAAGAAAGCGAAAGGAGAAGCAGGAAGAGGAGCATTCCATTATAAAGATTAAATATTGGCTCATTTTTTTAAACTTAAATATTTAATTTTTTTGATGAGCTTTGGGACCAAAACGACAGTGGTGGGTCATTTTGTAGCTTTTATCTTGTAGATATAAAAGGGCGATAAGAGGAGTTAAAATTTAGTATCTCTGTTGGAGCACTTGATAAAGGAGAAAAAAGACCATAAAGACCCTCTACAGTATCACATTTAACTATTGTAGCGTAGCTTCAGTGAAGAACGTTTTAAACTGACATTCTAAAAAAGTATGATCAATGAAGTATGGCTTTTTCCTTTGTACTTCCAGTTACTACCGGACTTAATAATGTTCATTGTTGTATCAATGTTTTGATTTTTTGTCATAGTTGTCGTATTATATTATTATTTTAGAGTCAGATCTACTCTGTGTGGCAAGAGAAAGAAAAACTACAACGCGAAGTGGCCAGTCTGGAGTTGCAACTGAAGTTGAAAACAAAAATTGCTGAACTAGATAAACAGATTCAACTTCAGGTGAGTTTATAAACGCATTCTGACATTTCGTTGCCAGTGATGTTGTGCGCCTCGCTCACAAATGCTTCCTCGTATCTAGTGCTAACCTGTTTAGTCTCGGGAGTTGCATACTCGTGCAAATGTTTTCTTTGGTAACAAAACGTCAGACACTCGGTCTTCACGAGAACAAACAACACAAAAGTATCTTCAATAACAAGCTCAACGTCCGCACTAAACTAGTGGCTACACACTAACAACTTAACGTCCACACTAAAATCAACTTTTACGGAAAATTCTTCAAACACTTACCTCAACGTCTAAACTAAACTGAGGAAACGCGACATCGACAAAAAAAAGCATAGTCCGTAAAACCTGACTCAAATTCAACACAAGCCTCAATGTTTAACTAATTGTATATTTTTACGTACGTAATGTCCCCAAAAAAACTGAACGTGTATACAGACTCCACGCCCGTCAAAACGTAGCGTCCAAACAAAGCTTTTCATGCGGTTTCAGTACGAGAACGCATCGTTTAGCAAACGGGTCCTAACCCGGATCGGGTATATCAATCTCTGTCATTGTTGTGATTTCCGTAATGAATGGTTATTGAGCATGAGAAGTAATGAGGCAATGTGTTGATTCAATTGATAATTTTCAGATGTCAGGACTAAAGCCAATTGGATCTCACATGTTGAAGCTGATATTAGAGTACAGCAAGCTAGCGGCTGCTTTGGATACCACCAGACATCATATGTCAGTTAATGGTGTGTTTATACCGCAAAATCACGGTACGTTGTTTTCTCTTTGTCTTGTTTTGTGTTCGTCGAGTTTAAAACGACTATTCTCCGCCTTGTCAGGGAATGGCTATCACAGGGAAGAGTGGAAAGTCCCGATGAAACTTACAACTTGTAAAAGTCTTGGGGAATTTGGGAGAAATTAATGAAACAACTCTTCGCACCATTGCTGATGCCAAATGTCCAGCTGGTGTTGTCCTCGGTAGCCCCGAATTCAATCAACTTTTCGGCTGTTAAATAGCCAACTGGTCTGCCTCCTGCCAGTTGGGATTTTTAACCATGTTATTTGCATGATTTGTTTCATTGTTTGTTTCCATTGGCCATTGTTTGTTTCCATTGTTTGTTTCCATTGTTTGTTTCAATTAAGATATTCACTTATTTATTTTAATTGTAATGTATGTATGTACCCAAAGGCCGTTCGTTGTAACAAGGTGACCGCATTTCGATTCTAAACCCTTTGATTACTCAAACTTTCTCCCTTAGCCTTTTTCTACCATTTCTGTACTCCATTTTGTTTTTCTTCAGCTGAGCTATTTGCTGTACTTGATGAAAGCGAGAGATTACTAGGCGAAATTGATGGACTAACCAAACAAAACCAACATAAGGTAAGTCCTTGGTAGGTATTTCTAATTACTTATTCAGATAAATGATGATCACTTCAATTGCCGTAATTGTCACTTATTGAGTGCACTTAATTTGCCTCGCTCTCATTTAGATCGGATCGTTTGCCAAAGAAATGGATGGGCTATCCAAAACTGTTGAATCTGAAATCCAAGAGCAAAACAGGTGAGATTTGAAGTTTGTCAGTAGAAACTCACGTCTAATTTCATGTACAAGAATGAAAATAGAGCGAAATCCCGATTTCTCGAACCCTCGATTTTTCGAACCCTCCGACCTCTTCTTAATCCTTGACTTGTTTATCTTCCACGAGCGAAGCGAGGGGGTAATCTTCGAGCGACGAAGTCGCGCGGCGAAACCAACAGGCTAGGGAAGAATTATTGGAAAGGACTTTTAGAAAGTCTACTTAGAGGTTCGAAAAATCGGGATTCCACTATAGTGTCAACTAGTGCAGACAGCGGTAATGAAAAACGGAAAGACTGGGCATAGCAATAGCAAGCTCGGGTCTTAATCTTTTGTGTAGAAAATTACCGAGATTAACTTTGGAGGAAGGATATAGTGTACAGACAGAGAATTGAGGAGACCCGTTTGAAACGCTCAGTCCTTGTCTTTCAAGATGCAGCTGAGCTCCTGTGATAATCTGTTTCTAACTGATCACGACTTGTTGATGGGATTGTTTGATCTACCATGCCGCGGTGAAAGAGGGTAGTGGATCCTTTGAGTCTAGTCCCTTTCGCGGTCGCCGCGCAAACAGGAGAGTTTGTTCACGATCAAAATTACTGCTGCAAATGAGATTACATTGAGTCCAAAGCGTGCAGCTATCCAGGAAGCCAACGCAACCCTCTTCGCACCATTAGATATACAGTTGAAAATAGACTATGACTACGTTGTAAACGGTTTTATTTCTTTTTGTCTTAAGGTGCGGTGAATTATTGGCCGCTGCGTCGACGCTGAGCACGCAAGAGCGTAGTCTTCAAGCTCAGTCCATCATGGCTGGATTATGAGAACTTCGTTGCAGTCCGGTCTGGAGGTTCAGCGCATTGCTAAAATGTGTCTGTCTGTGCACTAGAGAACGGTCCAGGTTTAAACTTACACCTGTTTAACAGCAGAACATTATGATAACCTTTGATCAGGGTTTTCCCAGTGCCTTACGTCGTGACGCTATAAAAAAGGCTGTGAACCTATTGAACTAACGAAAATCTTGATTGCTGTTTAACCCAGTAACTCACTCGTTGGTGTACGTAAGGGAAAACCGGCGGCAGTTTTGAGTTAACCAGCTCAAGATAGACGTCTCAACAGTGATGATCTGTGATTGGTCGTTATCACATGCAAGTTAAACGAATGAAGCGTGCCGAGGGAAAGGGTCTGTTTAGATAACGAGAGCTACCGATACCACACTATACCCTCTCCTAGATAATGCCCTCCCTGATAACTACAGCTGATTTTCACGGACCCAATGTAATAAACTGTTTAACACTGCAATAATGATTATAAAGGAAATAAGTTCTGAAGCGACTGGGAAAGATTGTTACTGCACAACGTTACAGTGGATTACTTCCTCATAAAAGTGTTTGCTTAGCTTAGTCTGTTCTGATGTAAATAACTTGCTGTTTTGATTTCTGTTTCTGCTTCCGTTTCCTGAGTCAGTCACTGTTGCATTTGTATTTCTAACAAATCCTGTAAATAAACTGAATGAAGCCAGATTATTTATAAAAATGTCCAGTTTTCTCTCTTATCATACTTGTTTTCCTTGAATACCGTAAAAACCATTGAATTATTTCATGAAATAGGCTGCATGAATGTACATCACTCGAGCCCGCGGTTAGCGTGTTAAACTGAGGGCTTCGCCTTCGAGGGCAAAGCGGCACTGCGTTGTCTTCTCGGAAAAGACATTCAGCTCCACATTGCCTCTCCCCACCCGGAGAAACCTCGCAAAATTGCTGCGTGGTCGAGGTCGAGGTACCTACAATGGTAACATCGCATCCAGGGGGAACAAACACGTTAGTCGTCCTCCTCGCTTCATGCCATGGGAACATGGGCCTACGCTTTCACACTGCGCTTCGTGTACGTCCGTGGAGGACCAGTGACCCAATGCATAGGGTTAGCACGCTGGACTCCGGATCGAGCGTTCCGATCCGGGTTCGAGCCCTGACCGAGGTCATTGCGTTGTGTTCTTCGGTAGAACTTTTATTTGGTACTCACAACAAAAAGTCTACTGTTGACAAGCTGTTTAATTATACTATCTTGTTCATGCGTCGTTATATATACACTAGAAAATTAAATGAGGATGCGTTTCTCCTTCCGGACTTCATTAACAAAATCAGGTATAGATACAGTCTAGAAAAATTTCCTCCTGAGTAAGTAAACAATGCCTCTCCTCTTAAATATCAAAACGTCCGAAATTTTCCTTGCAACTGTTATTTCTTTAATTTGTCTCGTTTGTAATTGCTAAAAACTGTAAAAAATATGTTAATATCTTAAAAGTTATACTGTAGTGAGATTAAGTTTAGATATCAGAATTAATTTGTTTAATTTAGTGATTGTAAAAAGAGTGACGATTAATAATTGCATGTGTGTAAGTAAATGTACTGTAATTAGTGTAAGGTGTAAGTACTTGTATTGTAGTTAATGTTTCTATTGTAAGTATTGTAAGATTTTTGTGTTGTAATAACAATAAAAAATGTTCTTTATTAAAGAAAAAAAGTTGTGTTCTTCGGCAAGACACTTAACCCGTACGATGGACTAGCATCTGGGGGAGGGGGGGGGCGGGGGGGGGGGGGGGAGGGGGGAGTAGGAATACTCCTAGTCGCTTCGTGCTACAGAAACCGGGATAAGCCCGGAAACGCTCCAGTTGTATGGGCCACTGGTCGGACACAGACCTTACCTTTTATGCACGTCTTTCTTGCACACTCAGGCACCTGCTTAGCAGTCGTTTATTTTTCGAGTGCTTCTCGCATCCAGGTTTTTACATACGTCTTGCGCTCAGACAGAAGAATTAACGACCGTTAATTACGTAGCCAAGTACATTTTGAACAATGTAGCCAGGGGTGGATCCATAGTAGTTCAAGTGATTTCCAGAAATCACTCAAATATTTCCAAACCTCTCAGAATGAAGGAAAATTCTGAGAGGACTAAATTTCAAATTTTCTTGGGGGAGCATCAGCCTCAAAGCCCCCTAGTTAAATTAGTGCAAATCACTCATGTAAAATCCTGGATCCACCCCTGGTAGCTTCGGTAGCTGTCATCGGTAAAATCTGAATGAGGATCCAGTCACTCACAGAGCTTCATGTAGCCAGTTGAATCATTCTCGTCAAAAGGGCTATGGGAACGAGAATGCCAGTTGTCTGTTGACCGCAATCCCCGTATCGGTACAGGCGCTAGTTCCACCGAACTCCTCTCAACTTAAGGACCATTTTTCGATCAGTAAAATGGTTGGTAATGCTAAATTTATTTTATGATTAGCTGGGATATGTGTATTGTAAATTCTAGGTGCTAAAATATTAGCCAAACTGTCTAAATGGAAATGGAAGTGATGGCGAGGCCGAGAGAGGAATTGTTTCGTTTTTCGTTTTTCTGTTTTCTGTTTTCCTTATCTTTGCGGCCTTGCGTTCCGTCATTTTGATAAATGACTTAGAAGATTAGATTACTCAACATTTGTAACACTTTATCCTGCGAACAGAGACGATTCGGTCTTTTCTAGAAACCTAGAAAGACTTAAAAAAGCGACTCCGTTCGCAGAGTACTAACACTCGAAACGTCATCTCAATATTCCCGAAATGGCGGTTTTGTAGGATTGTCACGTGGTCACTGATGACGTAGTCATCAAAGTCGCCATTTTGGAATCTCCGGAAGCAGGGGCCAAAACATCAGCGCTACATACATCCTTATTTCCTTGTTTGACCTGAATCTCAAGTAAAACCAAGTCTTTGGTTTAATTGTTCTTTCTCCTAGATCGCTATTGAGTATTTTTTTCTTGGTAGATTCCGTGGAAAAGAGGGACTTCGACGCTTCAGTTAAGCTTAAGCCTATCTTCCTTAGTCGCCGGCGCAAAATATTGTGTTATTCCAAGCCTATGATTGTGTTCACTGAATTTTGAACGGTTCAGAAAGCAAGTGAGATTTGAAACTGGAACTTTTGCAGCAAAACTTCTTGCTTTGTGTACAGCTGAATTGAAGACTCCGTTGGAGAAAGAATGGTATGCTGCTGGGAAAACAACAAAATGGCCTATGTGGATAGAACTTTCGAGTTCTCGAGATGATATTCTTTGGCCATTATTTACCTCACCTCTTGTCTGAAGAATTGAGGAGTGATCTCCAATGTCTTCCACACTAGAAGACGTTGATGGAAACGACAACATCACGAGTGATTTGGAAGAAAAGGACTCGGAAACTAAGCTTATTATAAAATGTACTGAGGAGGAAGTTCTTGTCAATGGCGACAGACATATGGATCATAAAAATTTGAACGGCGATGCACGCGATGAACAAGATGAAAGCGTGATTGATAAGGCTACTAAATTATCATCTCCATTAAATGGAATTAAACGCGATACGGACCAAGAATTCAAGTTTATTTTAGCAGAATATGAGCACACAAAAAACGAACTTTCTAAATTGCAAACAGATTACAGATTGTCTTTGGAACGCGAGAAGAGTTTATGTGAAAAACTACAAGATTACCACGGTAAAGAAGATTCCAGTGTGGACGATTTGAGCCGAGTTAACGAAGACTTAAGGAAGAACTTAGATGCAGTTCTCGAGGAGCTAAAGTCTTCAAAGGAAGAGCTTAAAAGGTTAGAAATTTGGAAGCATACAGTACACAATTTAGATCCAATATGGTGGGTGGCTGTGGTACACTTGTATACTTGGACGTGTTTTATGTCGGTGGTACTCTATACTGAGGCGATATTGCAGCATTTTCATAACCATACAATACAGTGTTCCATGTTCCATGTCTTTAAACTGCTTTTAATATTTTCTTGTGTTATTTATTTTTCCAATGTCTAATCCTGTGGTAGAGGTATTGTCCTTGGCGGTAGTGAACACCTCAACACAATATATTTCTTTGTTATTTCTATTATTACCAATAGAAAGAGCAAAAAAGTATCCAAAAAGAGTTTTTTTTACAGTGAACTTGAGTACTGCTCATAGTCGTAAATCGCTAACACTGTTTTTCTCACAGATGACTGACAATCAAATCAAAACCTAAAAACAAATATGTTGCTTTGTTTACACTGCATTGCACCTGTTGTATACCATAGTTTTTTACTTAAATATAATGAAAAAGACCTGCTATTTCCTTTTTTCACTAGTCTTCAGATCAAAAGATCACAGCGGCAGATGCATTCTTAATTATTGTTCTTGTCCTTTTATTCAATGGCGCAAGTTCTTTTGAGAAAATGTTTGTCCTTTCTGTGTTTCAACAATTTCTTGGATACTCTCCTTGGATGAAGCTGCATACATGTGATCTTACATTGAAAAGATTTTTGAAATGTTGTGATTGCCATGACCTGCATACCTAAGTTTGATAAACACACTGTTATAAACAGGAAGTCATAAATACAATTATTAACAGAAATTTAGAAATTGCAAACTGCTGCCTAAGAGAAAAACACATTATAGACACCTGAACAAACTGTTGTTACAATCCTCTTTAGTAAATGAAGTTGCTTAGAATTACCTACAGTTCTTACTGTTGTTTGTCCAGTTCCCAGGTGAATGTCTGTAACAAGACTTCCGTGTAACACTTCTGCAAGTACATTGTAATGCAGATAGGAAATGAAATATTATTTTGAGCTAGTCTAGAGGAAATTGTCTTGACTAACTACTAAATACTTTGAATTTGCACTAAAACAAATACTGTCCAGATGATGAAAGAATTACTTTCAATTGAAGCTTAACCTTTGATTTTCAATATTGTTTTTCTCCTCAGGGTAAAGGATGTAAATAATGAACTGGAAAAAGAACAGGGTAATCTTAATGCAGAGTTATCAAAATTACAACTAAGTGAAAGTAACAGTGAGGAGAATGATGGACTCAGAAAGAGCAATCAGGAGTTGGAAGATAAACTTAAAGAAACATCAGAAGAGCTGGTTGCAACACAAGAGAAACTTCAAGCTCATGACCAGGCAGCAAAGAGGGCTATTGCGGCCTTGCAAAAGGAAATGGCTCTCAGAGTTGATCAGGTGGGCAAGTGCTATTAATGGGAAACCTTTATTTATTTTACATCACTGGTGATGATTGCTCTAAGAAATACACTGCTGCTCCAAGAAATAACATGGTGTCTGTTTATCATCAGGGATATCCCTGTGATAGACTAGCATTGAATCTAAGGGCAAAAACAATAATAAGTACAAGTAGATACATGTAGACATTGACAAGTGCAAGTCTGATAGGCTGCTAGGCTAGAATGCACAATTCTCAATAGAAAATAAACAAGAGGTTTTCTGTTAATGCTCAGAGAGACTCAATACTTACTGTGTAGTGTTTAACTTGAGAAGTTAGATAGACTTAAGACTCCTCTGCTGATCAATCCTTTACTCTGACTTGTTTTGAAAAGGTAACAAAGATGTATGAAGATGTGCTCAAGGAAAAGGAAAATCTGGGAATTAAATTAGTGCAGGGAGAGGAAGAGAAAAATAAAATGGCTAGAGAGCATGAACTACTTGGGAAAAAAGTTTCAGAAAATGGAAGGGTATGTATGATCAATGTTAATGTGTACATTTCTTGCAGAAAGCTACAACATTCACATACATATACATTGTGTAGATGTAGATATGGCTTGTTTAAGTTACTTGTCAGGTTTATAAATTTAGTGTTAGTGTTAGTATTAGTAATGATCTTGTTGATACTTGCCATTTAGGCTTAATTATTTTAAAAAGAAACATTAGCATGTATTAAGAGGATAATTTGAAACTGAAAAATGTTGCGTGCATCCACTGTACCACAGGGTAAAGCTCTGTAAACATCAACAATATAAAGCAAAGAAACACTTAGTTCTGTCATTGTTTACCAGTACACAAGAACCAGTTTCTAAAGACTAAACAGTACATTACAGTGAACTAATGATACCTAAACAAATGAAATAAATAATATACAATAGTAATCTCTTTTTGTATGAGTACGAAAGGACAGAGTCAAACCGTTCTTCAGTTAAATCAAATGAATTTCACAAGTCTTTGGGTGTAAAATGATAGATGAAATAAAGTACAGATAATCTCTAACCAAGGTGCTTATAGTAATAAGAAGTTCTTCCCTTGAGAGTCAAATCTGTACGTAAAGTTATATTGTAGTCTTATATTTAGGGGTCAGAGGGACTTAATATTATCAAAGGGACTTTAGCCTCGGAAATTTTGGAGAGTTACTTTAAGACAGGTGCAGTGACCCACATGTACATGTAGTTGTTGTTAGCTCACTCAACTCTGGAGTAATGATTCCACGTCCTCTCTTGACCCCAGAAAATGGGTGCTTGGAAATCTTATAGTGGAGGTAACCTTTGTGATGTGCAAGCATTCCATTAGGGGGAAGCAGAGTACTCCTATTTGTTGCATGCTACAAAAACCCGAGATAAGTGTCGGAAGTAAGCGTAGAAGTAAGCGAGCCTATAGGGTGATGGGCCACTAGTCTCAAATTCATCATCATCGTCTAGTTTTCTTTGTCCCATGGGGAGCATAGGGTGTCCACTGTTGCCTTCCATTTCTGTTGGTCCTGAGCTGTTCTTTTGGCCTTGCACAACCTACTGTATGTTGATCTCCATCTGGTCTTTCTGGATGCTTCTGCACCATGTAATTCTAGGTCTACCACATTTCTGTGTGCCTTATGGGTTCCAGTCCATTGTGTGGTACACTGTGTTCCTCTCACCGTGCCCGCAGAATTTACAGACTATATCGTTTCCAGAAGGGACTATCATCAGAACTCAAGTATAACTTTGTTTCCTTAAACAATGCAAACCATTGTTCCCATCTCTTTTTAGGAAATAGAAAAGTTTCGGCAAAAACTGAAGACTGTTCAGACGGAGCATATTAAGCTACAGACAGCATATGATGACAGGGTATGGCTGTCACATTATTTTAAATTCTTTTTCTGTCTATTGCTGTTGGTTGTGAGTCAAATTAATTAATGATTAATGATTAATAAAATGAAGAATTTGTTTTTCTTTGTAGGGAAAGGAACTTGCAGCTGCTGTAAGGGAGTCTGACAAATTGGCTGAGGAAGTGAACTCACAAGCTGTGAAGGTCAAGTGGGCACAGAACAAACTCAAAACAGAATTAGAAGGACACAAGGTAATTATTCCCAGCTATCAACTAACGTTTATTTAGCAGAACTGTTCTTGTTTATTTGTTTCATTTTTTTTAATATTAAGTACTCTGATGCTTACTCTCTCTTTCATCTTACATGTCTTTTTGTAACATTTTCCTTCAAAATTAATTGGAAGTCCTGATGGCTTTGCAGTAAAGTAAACTCTGTATGATGTTGTTCCTATGCTTCAGGAAACCAAGAACAAATTGTCACAAGTGTCACAAAAACTGAAGGAATCCAGAGAAGAAGGCCTTCAAATCAGGGCTGACTGTCAGGCTATGATTAAGCAATATCAAGTAAGGTTTTAGTAGTGATCTTTTCATTTGATGTCACAAAAGGATGTGTTCACTTTCATGCACATGTACAATGTGTTTGTTCTATTAACCTTTACGGCTACATCCACCAACACCCCGAAAATAACTTTTTTTTTCACCCTGAAAATAATGGCTCCTCAAAAGAAACATGATTATTTTTTAACAGCCCACCCAAATGTAATGGCCTTGGGAAGATTACCACTCGACTTACGAAAAAAAAAAAAAAAAAAAAGGAAATCACGAGTTGAAGGCGTGTTTGAGGTGCGGCTGTTCTCCTGAACCTTTACAGTGTTTTCATAATTCCATGGCAATACGTCCCTGAGCTTTTGTGTAAAAACTGAAGTCGTTTGTGCTTTTCTGTAGGTGGTTCACCGTATCCAGGAATGGATGGCAGAAATATCACAAGCCTGCGTCAGGAAGGAAAACCAANAAAAAAAAAAAAAAAAAAAAACATGAGATAGTATATTTGACGTAATATTTGTCATTATATTTGATGTAACCACCTGATGTAACATTTTGAGTAATATTAGTTACACTGCGGTATAATCCGACCATAACTTTTGCCCTATAGTACCAACATTTGGAGCCTTTATTTGTTTATACAGTCTGCTTTGTTTATGTGGGTAGTTAGTAACATACATTATGTGGGTGGTTAGTAACATACATGAACCAAACTTTTAATAAAATACAAAAAAAGATAACAATTATAATAAATGGAACTTTTAATTTCATGTACATGTATTACGCATCCACTTTGTCAACAACTGTGAATTGTCATACTAATGGCTGCCCCAAATCTATGATATCAAATGTCTCATTATTTGCATGGTAATTGATTCCTCTGTGTTTGGTTAATTGGAAGGAATCAGAAGAAATGAGATCAAACTCCTTGGATAGTAAACTCAAAGCAAAGGAAGTAGAACTTAAAAGGCATGAGCAAGAGATTGCAGACCAGGATGAGGTACGGTACATGTGTCTCTCATGTCTTCAAAACACATCAATACCTAAAAAATACTTTTTCTACAAAAAGTATTGTACAAGTTACTCAAGCTTTGGTTAACAGAAAAATAGTCATACTACTTTTGATGAGTTATATGTGGCATTTTGGTTGATTTTGTGGACAAATTAACAATGCCTCTTCAGAACTTTAAAAAGCAAACCATGGAGTTCTTAGCATTTCTCAAACTCTTCACAAAATGGTTGAAGTTGCTACATGTAGCTCATTAAGCCACCAGAGCTTGAAAACAGACTTTAATTTTATGTGTTACTGGTATGTCCAAACATCCAGTTACACCCTGACGTGAGTAGCTTATCACATTAATTTTTAGACACAGGTTGCATAAATTATTCCATTGTAATTAAAGGTTCACAAAATGAAAGTTCAGGAACTAGAGACGTATAAAGAACAATACAGGAAAAGTCAAGATGAAGTGAAAGCTTTAAAAGCAAAGGTACATGTACAGTACATTGTTGTTCTCTAGCTTATCGTTTACATGGTAGTGGTAGTGGTTAAAATTCAAGTAGCAACAGCTGATCATGAGTGATATTGTAATGCAAGTAATTCAGGAACTCACCTCTTGTCAGTCCTAATTGCCATTGATAGCAGCTGTCAAAACCAAGCATTGATTCAACAATTTTAGCCAAAAAGTCAGAAAACCATTACACAGTATATTATGACTAACATTAGTTATCAAATAAATGCAGATCAGTGGGCTGGAGGAAAAGATCACACAGTATGCCCTGAAGGTGGCAGATCATGAGAAGAGTGCCTTACTGAACAAAAAAGAACAGCACAATCTTAAGAAAGAGCTGGATGAGAGTCACGTGTACAAGGCAAAGTATGAAAGGTTAGCAAACTATTAAAACTACTGAGTAGTAAAAACTAGGTCAAAACTACATAAGCATGACAATTTGCATGATGTAAGAACAGTTGAACCCCATATTTTAAACTCTCAGAGGAAATGAAAAATATTTCAAAATAGTGGGAGATTGAAAATGTAAATGACTGAAGGGCAATTCCAAGGGAAATGGTTTTGAGTTTGAAATAACAAGGAATTGAAACTAACCGAGTTCAAATTAGCAAGGTCCAACTGTACCCTAAGCAGTAAGTACAAGATAACCATAAGCTGCTATTAATATCTTCTTTCTTTTCTTTTAATTTCAAACAGTGAGGCAGAGATGGTGAAGCATTTAACTGCTGTAGAAAGTGAACAGAAAAGGACTATTTCTGACCTTGAAGCTGATATTTTGGCCTGTCACAGCAAAGAAGCTGAACTTCTGACATTTTCTGAGAAAATGACAGCTAAAAATGCTCAACTTCAATCAGAGGCCAGTGGCACTCTGGCCAAGGTACTGAGTAGATTAATGTGATTATATATTTTGTTGTTATTCCTGCTGCTGTGAAGAGTATTTTCTATGGAGAGAAACAGTCTCTTTATATTTGAAATCAAGTCTATACCTGAGCTTATGATATTTAAGACATACAAAACATTTTCCTTGATTCATAATCTTATTGTTAAACATACATGTAAGTGCAGCTTTTAGTGTTGCTTTCTTACCTGTAGAGTATTTCTAAATCCTGATTTCAATGTAATCTTAAGCTAGGGCCATATGAGAGTGAAAGTTTCATTGAGGTCTGGTACAAGATGAACTCTGCTGATACATGTACCATTCAAGTGTAGCCAAAAAATGACAAGAGAATGAAAGAGTGGATAAAATCAAGCAATGCATTTGGGGAAACTTAGCATGCTTGAATTATTTTTATCTCAGTCTTTTTAACCATCAAGTACCATTTGGTGAAGAGTTCCACACAATCATCCGTTTTTCATTCCTGTATTTATGCTATTTTACCTGTCCCTGATAGTGAATAACATTATTTCCCAATTGGCTTTGTGGAGTGGATGTTAAATTGGTTTGTCCTAACATTGCTCATTTCAATGTGTGTTTAGCTTGATGCAACTCTTCTTGAGAAATCTAAACTGGAAGAACAGTTTGAGCAAGTGAAAAAGGCAAAACAGGGACTGGTAAGTCTTCAGTGTTTTTATATGCAGACTGAGCTGGAAGTTGATAATTAGTTGTCATTAACTGAGATGAAAGTCCATTTGGCAGAAACTTTACCAAGGTCCTGATAAACCCACCTTAAAGTACTGTAGTGAGTATCAACTAGTAGGGCCAGCAGAGTTCTGCAGGTTCACTTAATTAATTTCTTTTCTTTTTCTTTTTTTCTTTCTTCTTTTTGTTTTTTTTTTTGACGTGTTTCTATGTTTGTTTTCTCTACTTAGGATGAAGAGTTGAAAGAGAAGATATCTTATTTTGAAAGTGAAATTATATCCTTGAACAGTCGTCTGGAAGAAAAATCAAAAGCCAGTAAGAGCAGAACACTGAAGACCTTTAGCATAATGCTTTATTAATATTTTATCAAAGTACTTCACAGGCTTCCATTCCTGATGTGTTAAATTGTAAATTGCACACATGTGCAATGGAGGGTTTACCATGATGAAGCCAAATCTAGGCTATCACTTTGTCATGAAGTTGTCAACTTTATGTAAATGCACTGCACTCATGGCTGGCTTAAAAATTTCTTTCCTCTTTTGATTCTCATACACCTCTTTGGAGGTCTACATGTACATGATGTAAGGGAGGAACCATTGGAAAAGTTATGGGGGGAAGGAATTCTCAAACTTCTTGTACACTCATAGTGAAGGGAAACCTCCTCGTACTCCAACTATGATGACATGTATGACTGCATTGAGAACACATTTTTAGTGTGTCTGGCTTTTATGTTCTTAATCGTTGTTGTTGTTTGTGTTAGTGTTGGAGCTTGCTGCTTCTCTTGAGGAATCACGAGATGAGCTTCAGGTGGTGAAGAGGAAAAACACAGCTCTTATTAAGGTGAGTATGTGCTTTACTAGCAACTTTGTGATGAGGTTGGAATTCTTCAATGTTTACTGATATGTGTATTTTTAATATATTGATCAATTAAGTATAACGTTAAAATTATTTTCAATTAGCCAGTAAACCAGTGTTTTTAAAACTTGTTTGATTTTCTTATAGGATTTAACAAGACAGTTACAGCAATCTCGAAAGTAAGTACGGCACTGGTTGACTGTGTGGTAATAAGCTAGTTTGGAACGGGTATTTTCCCTGTTTAGTCATGTACAATGAAAATTGTAAATTTTTTTAATTCCTATTTTGTAACTATTCTTTATTGTTTATTTATACACGGCCCCACAAGCTGCAAGCTTAATTACTTATCGTGTTTAAATAAAGGTTACTTACTTAATTACTTACTTATTTACTTACTTACCTACTTACTTACTTACTTACTTACCTACTTACTTACTTACTTACTTACTTACTTACTTACTTACTTACTTACTTACTTACTTACTTACTTACTTACTTACTTACTTACGTACTTACTTACTTTATTAATCATGCTTTGTCAATTCTGAAAGAGGGGTCAGCCTTAAATTTCCATTATAGTTGATGTGAATCGGAAGGTGTGATGGTATAGTGGCAATGCTTTGGAATCTGGATCGAAAAACTAGGGTTTGAGCACTGCTGAGGTCACTTCGTTGTATTCTTGTACGTCTCTTAACTCAGGTGTGCAAATAGGCACTGGTGATTTGTTAAAGGGAACCTGAAGAAATGCTAACGGGTTTTGCATGAACATGTACATGTAGTGGACTAGCGTTCCATCCGGTGTGGGGGTTGGTGGGGGCATTTCTCCTGGCCACGTCATGCTTTCTAAACTGCATTTTCATTTGGGCCTGATTAGCTAACTAGGCTTGAAGAAAGGCTTTTTAGCAGGTGCGAGACATTTGAGAAAAATTATCAGAAAGGAAGTGAAAGACCTGTATGAACTGTACAGAGATTTCAAACTTTGAATTGAAACGCTAACAACTATGGGTAGCCGACCAACATTGTTTCCTCGTTCTCATTTGCATTCCTTGATGTTTGAGTTAGGTCAAAGAGCTAATTCTTGCTTTATCGTTTCCATCTTAGACAAGTGGAGAAACTAGAATCAAATAACCTCGGATCCAAGGAGAATCTGAGCGAGGAGTCGAAATCTTCTTCCACTAATTCACTAGACAAGATAGGCAGTGCTTGCACCACTCCCACTTCACTCTCATCACCAAGCTCAGTCACATCAGCTGTAGATGGCGGGGTGAGTGTTGATCTGTAGATGGTTTATAGAATTTCAAACAGTCCTTTAAATGTTTTAGAAGTAAACATGCTCCAGTTAGTAACTTGAAAGGGAAACTTGGATAAACATTTGTCTGTTATATGCAGCATTGCAGTATATATTATAGACTTTGAAAAACGTGAAGAAGAAAAAATGAGCTTAACTTAATTTACATGTTACATGACTCGTTTAGTTGTTAACGTATTGCTGTTGTTATGCCACGTTAGTGACTCGTTATTGTAAGGTTTCATTCAACAGTAATGTAATGAAGTACATGTAAATCGTGTGGTTTATAACAATAACTTGAAATGCATAAAAAGGCTCCTAAATTGGCATAATAAGACTCCTTAAAAAAAAAACCAAAAATATGCTTTGTGATCGTTGATTGTTTTTCCTGTGTTTTGTCTTTTCAGTGGGTTGTTGTAAACAGCTCCCAGTCCTCAACTGATCGGGTAAGGCACTGACAGATGTTGATCCTATCAGTTTAGTTTTACAATTACTGGTGGCTTATATTCAAACGAAAATCTTGAGCGTTGTTTGACTGGTAATCAGAGTGATGGAAGATTGCAGTTGTTGTGCACATGTTGTGGTTTATTCTTACCCTTGGTACAATTTTGTGTTGTACTTCGTTCTGCTGCATAGTGGTATACGATACTGCATATGAAACCAAGAAAAAGGCAAAATTGTACCAAGGGTAACATCGAACTACAGCATATACATGTACTGGTTCATCATGAAACATTCCCTAACCGATCAGAGTGTTAGTGATGTCTTCTGTTCAGTTGCAAAACGCGATCCAATTTGGTTTGTGATGTTTAAGCTCTTCTGTGTTCTAACGGGTTTTTCTGGTTTGATTGACAGACCTCACTCGAAGCCTCCAGCGGGGACAACGTGCAGATTTTACCCCAGGGGCAAAAGGACCACAGGGCGAACACAGAGCTGGCGCCTGATAAGGCTGTTCTTGTGGATCGCATCTGCAGACTGCAGAAAATCCACGCGAAAAAGAATGAAAAGCTGGAATTCATGGAGGGTCATGTGGCAGCTCTTGTAGATGAGATTCAAAAGAAAAGCAAGTAAGTGACCTCTTGATTCCGTCTCTAACAATTGTCTTTGTTCTTGTGACAAGAAACAGCAAAAAAAGACGGAAAGACAAATGACATAAGATAAATACATTGCGGCTATTGCTCTCGACAATTTTGAATGATAGACTTGAAACCTCCCTAATTTACAGGAGCAGTATGATTATTACTCTGTGATCTACAATGGTGCCACTTCATTTTATTTTTCTTCAGAATTATTCATTACTATGTGTTACGCGAGCAAGCTGGGACTTTGGCCCCACCCAAGTCCGATATGCACAAGGTGAGTTACGTGGTACGAAAATAGTCATTCTTCTCACTGATTCAGTGCCATGAGTCTAAATAGTGAACGTTTTTGTTACTTCTATTCTTGAACAGTGGCCTTGAAAACGGTTTCTCCTCGTCTATTTTCCTTGTCACTCAATCTCTTTCTCCAGTGCAGAAAGTCCGTTTGCGTGACAGCGAGGAGCGTTTCTCAAAATTAGGTTACTATAAAGAACTTACTCAGACTGCTAACGTTTTCTGGATTATTATTATTATTAACTTGCTTATCCTTAGAACAATTCCTTGGTAGTAATCGATTCATAACGTCACTATTACGGGATAAGTGTTTAAAATAATAATTTAGTAATAAATATCTGAGTAACACGCGTTATAATACTCATGCACTAAACACATGTTTTCTCTCTCCCCGCGTCTCTCCCATGAAAGGCTGGCAAGCATGGATCCTGTTTGCACCCCTCTTCCCCATTCCTCGCGCGGGACAATTCACAGGTGCCTCTGTCCCTATCTGAACATACAATCGTAACAAACTTAGAAAGCGCTCGTTTAAATTCACCAGGGAGTAGAACACTTTTTTCAATTATGAAGATCGTTTCCTTTGGTGGAAGAGCTGTCTCATCTACGCGAAAGCGTATTTGAAAGTAACAGCTTAGGAACTGGTTCATTTAATGAGACAACGGCACCAAATTTAAGTCATAGGAATCTCGTTATGGTTGTGTTCCGCGTCTTATATTAGGAGAGACATGTAGCATTCTATTGTGTAATTTCTGCTTGCCATCCCAGTCATTATCTTATTATTACTCTGGTGATTCAGTTAAACTAAAATATGTAAATTAGGTGCACACAGTTAGGTGCACACTCATGCTAAAAATAATCTACCAGTAACCGACACAAAACGTCCTTAAAATGATCTTAAACAGTGAGTCCTTAGTTTCACTCCAAATTATAATCCAATGAACATGTACGAAGTATCGTATTTAGCCGTAACCCGGAACTAAGAGTAGGTTTTAAGGCCGAATAACATGTCAAACACTGTCCGTTTTAAGAATGTCTCAGCTACGTTTCTTTATACATTTTCATGTTTAAGTTTAAAGCAAGTTTAAGCACTTGATTTTAGTTATACTCTCCAAATCACTTCACTGAACGTTTGTTTGTAAATCTCTACACAAGAATGTCATTGTGCATTGTATTTTTATCAGGCCCAAGTGTCTCGCCATGGTGGAATCATGGCGTCTGTGTACTCGTCCAAGCCCGTGGACCCAGACATGACACTGGAATTGTCCCTTGAGATCAACAGGAAACTACAGGCTGTACTGGAGGACACAATTCTTAAAAACATTACTTTAAAAGTAAGTGTTGCCAGTGCCAACAGCTTGTAACCGTTAATGATTTTGGTATCCAGCACTGTTGCAATTAGAATAATTGTTTTCAGTGTTGTGACCTTTCCATTTACAGCATTTGCGCTGAAAAAAAAATGAGAAACAATACACGATTGTCTAGGTAATAGAAACGAAGATAAGTTCAAAGTCGACTATGTAAATGAAAAAAGAGCGCGAGCGGGGAATTCAACAGGCATGACTGAGGTTTAATCTCGACTACGGAAGTGGAACCTTGGTAACTCCGAAAAGGTACTTGAACTTCGATAATCAGGAAATTAAAACGAAATGCTGGCATAGTAACAAAGAATAGTCATGTTTGATCAGTCATTCGCACTAATAACGTAACATTCGTTTTCTACAGGAAAACCTTGACACCTTGGGAGACGAGATAACAAGACTTAACGAAGAACTGCAAAAGATGAAGAGAAACAGGAGGTCGTGAATTGTGAAACACGAAAAGAAAACTTCTCTATGAATGTTGCCTGGGTATTGTTGGCATCTTAATAAGGAACAGCAGCAAGGCCTAGACATTGACTGGAGGCCTTGTGCTAATTATGGACGGGAGAAGAAAAAACGGGGAGACTGGAAGTTCCTTAGCCCAATATTTCCGCTATTTTTTAACGTCTTCCAAATTACGCTTTCATTAAATCATTAATGATCGCAGATAAACAAAGGGACTTTGGTTCTTCATTTACACAGAAACAGTGCACTTCATATTAAGCGACAAATTATGAACTTTATGAGCGGGCGTAGGTGACTTGCGTTAAAGAATTGCGTAGCACACTTAGTGAGGTAGCTTAGAACTATCAAAAGAAAATTTTAACATGTATCGGGAAGGACAGAGTATAGGAGAGTACAAAGAAAATGACATGGCATTCGAATTCAAAAGAGACAGTAGACAGAAATTAAACGCGAATGGTAGCATTAGGAGAGTCTTTGCACGAGACTGATTTGCGTCATTGCAACAGCGGTTTTTATGTTAGGGATATTCAATTAGGGTGAGCGCTCTTTAATGCATAGACGCTAACAGAGAAACTTCGTTGTTACGGGCAATGCGCCGGGCCTTGATAGACCCTAGATACATGTGCCTGTAAAGAATTTTGGAAGACAGGTTCATGCAGGGTGGGCACTAGTCTTCTGCCGCTTTCATTTTCACATTAACAAGTTCTACTGTATTTTGTATTTTGAGTGAAATGGCGCTACGCAAATTAATATTTCATCATTTGACCATTCGGGCACTAGAGAAATAAGAATGCAAAAGGTATTGGGGTTTTAAGATTGACGCAAAAGGATATCAGTTCAGTCAGTAAATTGTAATTAAGAAAATTATAAAATTACACAATTGTTTCATTTACGAGTTTAGTATGTACCATATGTATATAAAAGGTTTTATGAATGGACGTTTTCAGTGGTCTTAGTGTTTTTCACTTGCAAGCCTCCCACCCAAATGCCCTTTGGACTCGTCACGCACTCGTTTCTTTCCCGTGACGAGCCAAAAGAAAGAACCTTTGTACGGACTAATGAATTTGAGGGAAAGTATTTACCCCGCCCTGGCCACCCTTGCTACCTTTGCTACCCCGGCTTGCCTGCATAGCAGTCTTTTCCGTTTCCTTTCAGGCAAGCGGGAGTCGCGCGAGGGCACGAGGACAGAGGTAACAAAAATTAGCGACTTCCCCTTGGCTCTCGCTTTCTCCCTCTAAGAGGAAACGGAAAAGACTGCTTCGCAGGCTAACCCTGGCCATCCTTGCATGCTACCCTTGCCATCCTACTTACCTTCGCCACCCAGCAATCCTTATTATGCCGGCCGTCCCAGCCACCTCGGCCATCCTTGTTAGGATTAGCATTAGCTGCCACCTTCACCACCCTTGCGACACTGCGGTGCCTTTAATGTGTCAACCACGTGACTAATCAAACGGAGGCTCTGGGGACCAGAAACCTGAGCTATGAGAAGTACAGTACACAACAAATATCATATTTGAAGTACCTACGACTAAGTACAATGGCGGCACGGCTGCGCTCCACTTTGGTTCGTTTCTTCTTGAAAGATGTTATTGCTGGTTCCAATGCTCCAAAGGTAACTGTTCCTAACGGAGTTGTGTTGCTACATCAGCCCCCCATCTCTGACGGTGTTCCAATGATTTCCAACTTTGCACTGAAGTTGGAAACCTACCTTCGCATGGCAAATATCCCGTACAAGAATTCATTCGTGCCAAAAATGTCCTCCAAAGGGAAAATACCTTGGATCGCATACAACGGGAAAAGGATACCAGATTCTAACTTCTGCATTGCTTTTCTAAACGAGGAATTCAAGGTGGATCTAGATGAAAAGTTAAACAAAACAGAGAAGGCTGTTTCTCACGCCATCAAGACCATGGTTGAAGAGAATAGTTATTGGTGAGTAATTTATTCAAGTACTTAAATGAAAAGAGAGAGGTGCCTTTCTTATTCAATCTTACTGCACTAACCTGAGTGATATTCAGGCTAACTGGAGGGCTACGCAGTATGTACCTAGGGCCCTGGGAATACTCACTTATTTGGTTCTCACGGGGGCGTTTCCCTGAGCAGAGTATGGTCTTTTTGGCCTTGCTGTCTTAACAGGGTACATCAGTCCGAGATCAGGGACGTCAACTGGTCATTACAAGGTCATCAGTCAACATCAGATCATTTTCAAGACAAGAATAATGGAGAGGAGTGCACGCTTTAAGGGGCATTATGGGTAATCAGGGCAAGATTGCAAAGAAACAAAGTGGCAAAGTATACCTTTTTCTTCATAAATTATTTCCATTCTGATTTTCATTTTCGAGAGGAAACTTTTACTGTAAATAGGGAAACCCGTTTTCCACATTTACTAGCGTTTTTGAGTCAATTGAGCTAAGCATTAGCTTACTAATCAGAATAATGGAAATGTTATTATTGTGGCTTGAGCGACAAGACTTGATCAAATTGTTCGGTTTTAACCTTAACAAAATTCCTATGCCCACAACAATCATTTAATCGGCTCAAAAACACGTGTACAGCTAGAAAAGGGGTTTCTCCGTCTACAGTATATATTTTGTCTCCAAATGTGAAATCAGAACAGAGATATAAAGATAAACATTTGTTTTACAGCTTTGCTTCTTTGTAAATTTGCCCTGATTACCCATAATGCCCCTGAGAACATGAACTCCTCTATGGTGGTTTAATTTTTATGAAATAATTTTTTTAACTTAATCCGCATCATAACAAGCACATATTTACAGAACAGATTGTACCAGTTGGTCTAGTTCCTTTTTGTTGGGTGTTGTGATGACAGTAAGATGTCACAGGCAAGAGTGTATCCCATTGTACAAAGATCTTTGTTAAGAATCTTTAATTTCTTGTAAGATCTTGGTTAGAATCTTGTGAGATTTGTAAGAATCTTATGTCAAGAATCTTACAAGATCTTTTAGGATTCTTAATTAAGAAATGATCTAAGATCTTAGTTATTATAAGAGACTTAATAATAATCTTAGTGTTAGGTAAGATCTTAATAATATTTCCATTTGGGAATTGATATTGTAAGGGATATTGTTTTGTAGAACTGCTCTTAATGTTTAACCTTGACCGCAAGTTTGACTGTGTTAGTTATATGTACTAAACAGTGCCCTTTCATTGAAGAGTAACTACTGATGGTGAGACTCCCATATGGACGGGGATGCTCATCGGAATATTGGAATTAAAGTCCTAAAGGAGGCCAATCTGGGTGTAGCTCAAGCTTTATTTGACCCCTAAAAGATACCACTTAAAACAATAGGTTCCATTACCAGCCACTGTTCAGGAAAGGAGCCCGCACTAGTTGACTGGACTTGAGAGACCAGTGGAAATCAATCCTGAAAATGGAAATAAGAGCATTTAGCTATTTTTATTTCTTTGAGTGCACCCTAAAAGATTCTTTGACAGCTAGAAATAGTGGTGTTTTGTCATAAACGCCCCAAGTGAGACCAGAATCCTTGGTGTATAGACCTAACTGAGACATTGGGCTTCATATGGTAGTTCCCCCCCCCCTTCCACCCCCGGGGAGTAACTGTCGGTGTCACTGCATAGCTTTGTCTATTTAGCACTGTCTTACACTTTGTTATATCTCGCAAGAGACCTTTCTATCCCCGGTTTAACACATGTTACTTCATGCCTGGAACTTTATGACCCTAATCTCTTGTCCTAAACAGGGTCTTGAAAAAGAAGGTGTACTTGTCCTACACAGGCTAGGGTTTTTAGAGCATTTTAGTCCCAGACAGGGTCAGGATTTCAAACCCCCAGTGTCTCCCCTTTAACTAAATGTGGAGTACTAATTTTGATGTCCAGTATTTCATTTTTCTTTTTCTCCAGGACATTGGTATATTATCGGTGGATAGATAGTACAGAATACACGGCAGAGCTTTTCTTTCCAAAATTATCACAACGAAAAAGGGACTTTTTCTTCCCAATGTTCCAGAAACAATCAAAAACTTCATTAAATGGTCATGGCATGGGCCGTCACAAGAAAGATGAAGTTTATGCCATTGCTAAGAAAGACTTGCAGACTTTGTCTGATTATTTGGAAGCTAAACCATTTGTCATGGGTCAGGAGCCCACACAAGTGGATGCGTCAGTGTTTGGCTACCTGGCACAAATTGTGTGGCAAGACAAAGACTCTCCACAGCATGCCACTGTTCATAGTGAGTTCAAGAATTTGATTGGTTACTGTGAGAGGATGAAGGAGAGATACTGGTCAGACTGGGACGAGGCAATTGCTCATAGGAAAAAGTTCCACTCTGAGTCATGAGGAACATGTTGTTCTTTGTTTTCATTATCAACAATTCACTTCCATTGAACTTGACTTGCACTCACCAGGATTCACACCAACTTGTGCATCATGTAACAAAGGGTAGGTTGCTTTATGATTGTACTTGATCTGACTTCACAACTGTTACATTTTAGCTTCACATGAAACTGTCAACATGCCTTTATGCACAGTTGGAACCAATCAAACCATTATCAAAAGTATGTTATTTTGTTCTTGAAATAATAGCATTGCAACTAAGTGTAACTGATATGAGGAAGTTTTCCCAATAAATTTTGGAAATTTTAAGAACTCCAACTGACTGAAAATACCAAATTAGGATAATATGGTTTAAAGAAATTTGAACCAAACGTAAAAGTCTAAGCCTCATTGAAGCTTGTTTTTCTCATTATTTGAATCCATTTCCATCCTCACGTGTGAAAGATTTGCACACCATTTACTCTACAGGAACCTTATCCTCAAATAAATCCGCAAAATGTCATGAAAAGTTGAATTTTTTTGTCAAAGAAGAAGTATTGTCAAATGAAGGGATTTGAATCTTAAGAAACTGTTTTCTTGTGTTCAATTTGATACTTTGTTTATATATGAATTGGTGTGGAGCTGATGAGTTAAATTAACTGTTATTGATAGCTACTGAGTTGGAAACAAGTCTGTCTATGGCAGCATCAACACTTGGTGGCATCAGCCAGTGCTTTGTCATCATCATCTCTTGTTGTCACTCCAGTAGGCACATAAGACCGTCACGCTCACAATTGAACTCTGTCTGTTTCCGCCACAGCCTTTGCTGCATTCCAGTTCTTCCACCTAGCCTTGTTTCTTTTGTTCTCAGTAGTCCTTCTTCAAGTGGTCTTCCGTCTCTCTCTCACCCCTCAGCCTTCTGATGAACGCCTTCTCTCCTGATTACATGTCTTAACCAGTTCCACTGTCCAGTCTTCTTAAAGCCAAACTATTATTAGATGTCTTGGAGCTCTGAGATGTCTTAAGGATAAAACTTGTTTCTTCTTCCATGCTCACTCTTAATTCTCAGCATGCCATGAGTGTAATACAACTAGCGACGTCACAAGGTTGTTTTGGACGCGCCCAAGATGGCTGCCGATTTTGGGCTCAACATGCTGACTTTGAACAGTTAAAAAAGCAGTTTTTGCATGTTGTTTGCATGAAAAAGGTGGACAGCATTTGAAAGTAAGTTCAAAAGTTCATCATTATGCAAAAACCTGAGATACAAAAATTTCATTTCAGTGGCACTTGAATTGTTCCTATTGCATTACTGTACTTGCAAAAAATTTCGGACGATTTTAATTTCGGGCAATAAAGGTGTCCGAAAATAAAACCATCCGAAATTTTTAGGCATCCGAAATACTTACAGTTATGTACAGCTTAAAGATTTTAAATAGCACCAAAGCTATTAGTTTATTTTATGAAGCGAACAGCTTGAGATTAATGGCATGATAGAATACAGTATGTGTTATTTTCTCTTCGGTGTATCTGTAAAACCTTGAGGGTGCAGTGAAACTTACTATATCATTTTCATAGATATCAGTTCTTTCAGTCTAATTCGTGTTTTATTGATTGGAAGTAAATTTAGTTTAGCTTTGTTTCAGCGAAGTGTCCGAAATTCGTCCGAAATAGATAAAAAGTATCCGAAAATTAAGCGTCCGAAATAGAACGTTCGAAATTTTTTGTAGGTAATGTTAATTTAACAATAATAATTGACTTGGGCCAGCATCCTTTGTCAGGTGTCAGCTGACTAAACTTCAACTTTTGGTTGAATTGAGCAACCAGTTTTCAAATACAACAGCTGACGAGAATTTGTTAAACTGTGCATCACGTGTCATGCAGTGATGCTGAACTGATGTGAAAGGACGTTGCCAAAAACGAAAATGTTGGCAGCTTTATATATATTGAACGAAAGAGCATCTTGCTCTGTTCCCTTCAACAAATTGTTGTCAGTGATAAACTAGAGAAAATACCAGCTTGCAGCTTGTTGCTTCAACAAGCTGCAACGTTTTAGACGCAACATAAATGTTGAATGGCGTTGAACTCGGTATTTATGCAGCCTTGTGTTTTTTAAACGGACGGCACGCACGTAGCCAATCAGAATGCAAGCAGTTACCTGAAAGTTCAACATACCATCATGTGGGAAAACCACATATGTTCGTATCTAGAAAATCTTTTTCTCTATATTGTAAAAAATTAAAAATCAGCCAACGAAACTCGGCGTAAAATAGGACAGATTTATGAAATCAAGAAACGAACTGGAAGCCGTCGCAGTTCGGTAATAGATTATTGTCTAATTTGAGATTACAAAGTTGAAAGAAAGAGCAGTTTTTAAAATACTTTGCACATAAAAGGGACCGAGTTTAAATTTCAGTCAAAAAAAAGGCAGAAGGGAGTTGAAATAAAGGAAGATTTACGTGTAAAAGAGTTCTTTTAGGGTCCCGAAAATTAGTTTTGAACAATTTTTAAATATATAGCATGTTTTTGTAATGGCACGGAATTACGCTTTTGATGGATCCCCTCAGAGACTAGATCGCTTAAAACTAGTACATGACGCCTCTGAACTCGATCTCGTTTCACACTGAATTCTGTTTTAAGGTTACTTCAAACCTTCGCGGGGCTACATTGGTCGATATTTGTTTGGTCAAGAAGTCCGCGAAGCTCAAGTTTGCATACTGTGAACGCTAGGGGTTTTGTTATTTCATTGGCTCGCGGCTTTTCAAGTTGACACATTCCTCTGTGAAGGCGTGATATGTTTATAAATCTTTAGAAGGCGAAAACTCGCACTCGTTTTTCGAGAGAATCCCTTCTCTTTAAATGAATTAAGAGGCTTTGTGATAAACACTGCACAGTTATTTTGCATGAACGATAGCATTTGATACCCGATTAATTCACTGGAACGTCAGTCGGTCATTTTGGAGTTGACGGCCTCTGCCGCCTTTGGAAAGCAAATCCAAAACAAAACATAATTTTATCGAATTATACATTTTATAACCTTTCTGTTGATATATAGTTTTGGGGGGTTTCCTTGAAAACAGCGCGCGTACGAATTTTTTCTGGAGTACAGCCGCGAAGGTTTGAAGTAACCTTAAAAACATATAATTTACTTGAATAGTATCAGAGGACATTATCTGAGGTACCACGAGACAGGTGTACAAACAGGCCTCTTGAAGGCCAACGCCTATGGCTAAGTTAAAAGAAAATCAATTAGCTTTTTCATTCGTTCCTTTTCCCCTTTTATCATTTATCATTGTTATCAAAACAAGTTGTGCTCTTTTTTCCTAAAATAAGCTTAACGTGGTCAAGATGTTTGCAATTAATAATGGTAATAGGACTGAGTGGAGTCCAATTCGGTCTGTAATCATATGAGTGATCAACGAAATCGGACGACAGCGAAGCGGGAGTCCGATTTGTTAATCACGAGTATGATTACAGACTGAATTGGACGACACAATGTCCTGTTACCAATTAATCATAACCATTACAATTTCCCACAATTTGAAAAACAGCTTTAAATAGTCATTTTCAAATATCATAATTAAGAATTTGAGAATAGCTTGCAAAATGGCTGTCAAGTTTCTTTCAAAACAGTCACAGGAAACTAAACCTCCACAATTTTACAAAGTCAGTTTCTTGAATTGGTTACTATGGTGGCTGCAATCATGTTATGATTGCCTCATGTAACTGTCCGATTACAGCCAACTGTCCGATTACACTGTCCGAGTACAACTTTGCAGAAAAATTAGAGCAAAATACACCAGTTTATGCACCAATCACATGTGAGGAAATTGTAATTGTTATGATTAATGAAGGAATCGGTCTGAGCGAGTTCTTTTTTATCGATTTTATGCTTAGACTAAAAAAAAGTAATTAAATACGCCTCGTGGAACTGTTGAGCTGTTTAAGGCATATTTAGCAGACGGATTAATTTATGTTGTTGTAGACATTCATAAAACTAGTAACACGATTATGGATTAAATCTGCAAAACGCCGAGGGTTAATTTGACTGGAAAACGTGAAGCACAGTAACCATCAAACAGCTTTTTCACGACGTTGATAACTTGTTCAGAAAACCTAAACAAATTAGTGCTCTTTAACAAGGCCGCTCTCTCGTTCTCTCTCTTAACTTAGTATTCAAACGCAGCGTTCAAAACAAACAGATAATATTCAACTGTGCTTTTGTTTGATTAAAAAGTAAACAAAACTTTTTCACGCCTTAAGCTAACTTTTGGCGTTCTTGGCTGGCGCTCGTGAAATGTAAACTGTTACCAAGGTTTTCAGTGTGTTCGAGTGGTATGCAGTGGGTTCAAGTCAACAAACGCAAACCTGGATGTGTTATGAATAATTTGAGCTCACCTTAGTGAGTCAAGCACATTACAACTGCACATGGCTTTCGACGTAAATTCAGCAAGGCAAAAGTTTCGAAGTACTACGAAAACACTGGCATTTTACGGAGCGGTTTCTCCAAGCGCGAGCTGGAATCGCGTCACAAAGATAACTCTGTATGACGTTTGCGGAGACACGCGAGCGATAAAACCCAAATGATTTGAAAATATTGCGCGAACGGCTCAATGTCTGACGGCGCTATGAGTCCGGTTATACAAGAACCTGAAGAGCCTTCACCAAACAGCTCGATATTGTTCGACAGTGATTCGTCTTGTGCTTCTTTGGGAGTTGCACAAAATACAGCGGCAACGGGAGAAAACGGTTCGGTTGAAAGCATGGCCTATCACGAGGAGCTTTTCTCGGCATCCGACACAGAAGCAGATTCGGCGATTTCAATCGTGAAATGTCTGAACAGCGCTTCCCCTTCGTCTTCGCTTGTTACCCGTCGCAATGACAATTCCGCCATAATAAGACTCAACAACGAGTTGCTAAAAGCCAAGCGAAGTAACTGGGAGGTCGTGGATGCCCTGGGAAAGGCATATCAAGATATCAAGGATTTGCGTTTGCGAGAGCAGAGATTGAATGCTGTCTTATCGAATTGCAGCAGCAAACTCGGCGGTACAAACGGGTTTACTGAAAGCCTGGCGTTACCGGATAGCAAAATTATTGAATTGCAGCTAGCGCTAAGGAGAGAGGAAGCTGTTAAAACGAGAGAAGATTTGCGAGCGCTGATAGAAGAACGGGATGAACTAAAAGAGAAACTGGGTAGGAGTGAAAGTGATCGACGTTTGGTGTCTTTTACCAGAGATCAGCGCGAGAGAGAATTGGAACTTTCTCAGAGCCACATTAGCGACTTAGCAGCTAATATCAAAGAGAAGGATGAAAAGATATTATCCGTTCAAGACAAGTTGATTGCCTTTGAGAAGGAAATGAAAGCCAAAGAGGAAGAACTTTGTAAAATACTCGACGAGAAGAATACCTTGCGAGAGGCTGTTATTCGGAGCGAACAAGAGATAGAAGCGCTTTCAGAGAAACTTCAAAACGTTTTGCTTTCAAAAGAAGAAAATGCAAAGCGCTTATTTAAGAACGCAGGTCAATCGTTGGGAATCCAAAGTGTTGACCCCGCAGGGAAAGTCCTCAGGCTAAATGGGGAACAAGTCCTGGTAGAGGACACAAGACTTGCGAAAGAGCTTCGTTATTTTGAGTCAAGACATGAGGAAGACGTGAAAGTGATCCACGAATTGAGTTCGCAGCTTAAAGAGTGGGAAAGGTTTGTAAACTTTGGATATTACGTTTCAATGTGTTGTTGAGTGCAATATCGTCTAAATCTAGTAATATATTCACAGCGAGATTGGTCTAGTTTGGGTTGTTCTAATTGCTGATGAACACTGCTTAATGAAAAAAATTGGTCTTAACTCATAGTGACTACTTGTGGAAAATATTGGCTTGCAGATCAGTCCAAAACGTTTTCAATTGGTACTTAAGCTATGCAGCTAAGCGTAAAATTCGCACATGAAGAATAAAACCGCGGTTTTTGTTTTTAGAGTTTTGCCAATCAAACCGCTGTTTCATTTTCATAACCGGAATGCACCTGCTACAAAGATGTCATAAGACACTTAAAAGTCGAATTTAAAAAAAGTAGCTTATGTATTTAAAGTAGGTGATTTCATTTTATTCGCTTTCAGAGATTTTTAATTCCTTCTGCTCTAGTCCAATATTATCGTTTGCCATTGTAAGAATATCGTTATTTGGAAATGTTAATCTGTATGCAATATAAAATACTGTTCGGTTAATTTGACTTAATTGGCTTTTTACCAGTGAGTATTTTATGCGTGAATTGTAAATCGGGGCGGAAGGCAAGCGTTGATCGGCGTAGTTAGTTCTTTTTAACTCGAATGCAATCGCGCGACATTTAGTTATCATCGCCGGTCAAAACTAAGAAGTTGTTCAATTTTCTTGCATATAATTATATCAAGTCAGGCCTTAGATAGTGTATGCTAAAAGGACTCGTCATCTATTTTTAGAAGCAAGTTATTGAAAAGCATCCTTAGCATGCAAACATACAGCAAACCAAGATTAAACAAAAAGAAATTATTTTTGCCAAACAGATCTTTTTGCATGATGTTTTCGGCCGCCAGTTTTAGCTCTGATGGAAGGGAAGAAGGGAGAGATGGATGAAAATGGTCACTGAATCATCCATACCGTGCAGAAGAAAGCTTGTGACGGAATCAACAGCAAGTGAAAAATTCAGTTTCTTTTCACACAAGGTGGAACATATTATTACCTTTTTATCATATTCATATCGAAATAGCGAAATTTGCTCACTATAAACTCGCATAGTAAAATCTTCTTGCATTAACTTGTGTTCGCCAATCAAATTTCACGTTTTGCTTTTCTCAGGTGTAGGAGAAAATACACGTTCAGTTAAAAGTCACATATGAAAGAAGTATTTTCCTTCATTTCACGTTCATTGTCAGTGTTTCGTGCGTCAAGATCAGCTTTAACAAGTTGTTTCAGTTCAAGTGTGTTCGTTGGTGATGGCCTGAGTTAAAAATTGTCTTGTTTATCCCCTGCATTCTTTTAGTTACCCATCGAGTTCTGAACTAGATTTTTAGACAGCTCGGACTAAGCTTGCCATACTCAGAATGGATGCCGTACTTAGCTTGCACGTCCCACTGAGCTGTTAGTTTGGGTATGCCCTTAGAAAGACGATTTTAGGTTTGTTGTTTGCTCCTTCTACACAAACCCTCATTTATTGGGTCCAGCGCTCGTCAAGCATTGTCTCCTCAAAGAAGGTTTGCGTAAGGAGTTAGTCAGTTACTGTCGGTCAAAAGTTCCCTTTTGAAAAACGCGTAGAACAGGGCTTAGAATATTTGTGCTGTAAGTTGAAGTTAACAGTAGACTCAATGTAAGTAAAGACGTGCTTCTGGTAGTCATCTCATTAGACCCACTCGCTTAGTGAGTCAGAATTCCCTTTAGTGCTCTTGTCCCCTTGTCTTAACTGTTGTTCTGCGTTTTCTTTTTCAGCATTGTGAAGTCCATGAACGACTACGTGCAAGATACGAACCAACAGCAGTTAGAGGCCAGAAAAGAAATTGCTGATTACGTGAAAATGCTCGAGCAAAGGCTGCGGGAAGTGAAGAAGGGTAGAAAAGTTTCTGTAAAAGAACAAGGTCACTCTGTACAAGGGAATCACCGGGATTCTACGAAAGCCACCCAGCAACACGATACTATACATGAGAACATGACAGATGACTGCCAACAGCCTGCTCAAGTCGAAGAGCTGAACCAATCAGCAAATGTGAACTTTGAAGATTATTTGAAATGTTCTTCTGAATACGAGGAAGAGAGTGCTTTGAAAGATGATTTGAGGGACCACGACCCATTCACTGCGGAATTTGAGAACACTGTTGAGTCGGAAGATATAAGCTTCGATGATTGTCTTCAGTCTTCTGCTGGATATCTTGTTCAACCTGATGAGGTGCGGATGGCCAGGGTAGCATGTATAGAAGGATTTGTAGCTCAAAGTCCTGAAATGACAACATGTATCTCGAGGGACTCGAACACTCGTGTTGAACGACCAGCTAGAAGAACGAGCTCTGGGAAAAGGCGAAAACTGCCACAGGTTACCAGGAAAATGAGTCTTGAAAGTGAGCGCAGCACCTACAGCGCGACCTCCCAATCTGATGAAACTCTTTCAATTACGTCATTTGAATCGCAAGTGTCACGTGGTACAACAGACATGCGTAGAGTGTCTCGTGGAGGATCAGGTCGGCGTCTCCCCCCAGTCCCCAGCGAAGAAGAAATCAACTTGCATGGAATTAAAGCGGATGTTTCCACCGACAAACCTGTATCGCAGCTACCTGGAGTGACGTCTATTTATCAGAAGGCGCCAGCGTACCCCAATAGTCACCGGCAAGATTCTGGACTCGGCGATAGCGTGAATAATTCCCCCGCCCTTCCAGGTCACAAGTTCAGCATCAGCAAATTGAGGCGAAAATTCAGCAAAGAAAAGATGAATCCAGGTTTTAGACTTTTACTCTAATTATAAAAGAGCACAAAGTTTTGAAAAAAAAGGAAAACGATAAAGCGACTGTCAAATTTCTCGGCACTGTTTTTTACTTATTTTCATTGGTGATTCTAAAGATCCTATTAACCACGCAAGCTGAAGGTTTTTTTGTTTTGTTTTCAACAGGTCCACAAGACCTGGATGGTAACAGTACACGCGGCTCCAAAAAAGGACTTTTTCAGGGGAAGCTTTGTTTAGGGAAAACAAGGAGGCGTAGAAATTCAGTTGGTACAATGAGTAGCGTTTCGGACAGTTTCAGAACAGTGACCCCCCTGAATAGTGACGAAGAGGGTGCGGCTGGTTTTGCAGACGAATCCTTTGACGAGGGAAGTCTTCCTTCGTCTATAAAAACGTCGACACCAAAGAAAGGAAACAAATTAATGAACAAAGGTAAAAATAATTCGTGGAAATTGAAACATTAAAATGAAACTATCCAAAAATGTATAGCTCTACTGTCCTGGAAGAATTAGACCTAGTGTAACCGAGGACAAGGAACAGTCGGGTTTGTAATACTGCAACTGACTTGACTTTGCTGCTAGAAGAATTATCATAGACTTTAAAAAATCGTTCAAGTCCATTGCCATGCCTTCCTTTCATCACGTGGATAAGCACATTGACCAGACATGAGTTAAAGTGAATGCATTTTGCTGGCGTTAAGTTTGGCTAGATATCATTGCTGTACTTTTCTTTTCTCGTTATCGTTCACTTTATTGTTGGCAACTAAGCTCGTGAGTTTCAACGGAAATAAGGAAAATAAAAATCAAAGTTCATTCATTTCCTAAGAGGCAGTGACCTTTATCTTTTGTTTCGACGCACCAACATGGCTGCCGCGACGTCATGTCAAAACGACTGCTATCAGAATCATGTCATTTCATTGAAGGTGGTGCTGCTCGTCAGTCCAAACTCATCACGGCCCAGCGCAGGAGAGCTGCTTTGTTGCTTGTATTTCAACACCTGAATCCAGTTGAACTGTGTGGCCTGGCGCGAGTGTGTCGTGAATGGTGCGGAATGAGTGAACTTCCCGCGCTGTGGAAGGAAGTGACACTGGAAGAGATACCGCTGAATAATATGGTGAGCCTGTCATTTTCCTGATTGGTGCATGAGAAGAACAGTTTTTTCATCTTTCAATTCGCGAAACCTTGGTGACTAACGCTGTATTGATCAAAAAAGCTTTCATGCCGTAAAAACCCGCGTATAAGAACCTAGGTTTTTTCAAGTTAGCCTCCATAGGTTCTTATAAAAATGATGTTCACTCTGAAATTAGGGTACCTAGGTTCTTAATCAGGTTCTTAATAGTTGTTGAAAAAACAACTTGTACTCATGGGTGTGGCCTTTATATTGAATCATTCACAGTACAGTATCGTGGCCTTAAAACACTGTCATTGTTCTGGCTAGTTTTTGTTACCTCTTTTCTATCGCATGTGATGTACTGTGTTATATTTGAAAAAAAAGCTCTATATTTTGAAAAGAAAACAACATGTATTGAGATTTTAACCTAGAATGATTCTTATGTGAATGGTGCTTAACTGGGAAATTGTAGCTTAACAGGTTCTTAAATTACAGGTTCTTATTCGCGGCTTTTTACTGTATTGTAAATTTTTATTCCAGGCGCTGCAGGCCATTTCTAGAAGATGCAGTCGCGTGCAATTTTTAAAGCTTAAAGGTTCGTCATTGTCATTTTACGCTTTTGTCAAAAACCGTACTTCAAGAAGTTTTTTAACGAGGCTTGCACCAGTTGTTTTAGCCTTATGGTGTTCACCTGACATATCTTAAGTCAAACATCTGCAGTTGTCACGTTATGCTGAGCGGGTATGACAAGGTTGAGCAGCAAACTACTGTACTTTGTTTTACGGAATACCGTATTAGCTGAAAGCCTCTGATTCTATTGGGAAAAAACGCTGTACATTGCTATAAATTAAATGGTATTCCCTTATTGTTGCTATAGTAACGTTTGCCTGGAAACCAGCGGCAAAAGAAAACTATAGTCACTCGAATAGTGTAGCATAGCAAAAACCCAGAGGCTACTTTCCGCGGTACAGTATATTTTCATCAGTTCTATACCATTTCTCTGGTTAGCTCACTACTTTTTATACAGGCTTACTAACTCTAAAATTTTTATCAAGTTTTACTGCGTATGCTGAAGCAAGCCAACATGTTTGTTGACGTTTTCACTGTTCACGATTTGATGTGTACGTCTTGTGATCTGTAAGGGCTGAAGAAAATCAAATCAAGAGAGACAAGCCATACGTCGACTGCTACAGAAGATAAGCGGTAAGGATGTCAGAAAGAAAAAATTGTGTTTAGCAGTTGTTGTGTCAAAGTTATCCTTTTACTTCAGTTGCGCTAGTAAACAGTTGTATTCTCTGGTCATCCCATGTAATTCATAACATTGATTTAAGGCTCTCACCACTGACATATATTGAGAATACGAGAAATCCCTGTTTTCCCCAAGACTTTGGCTTATCGTCCCCACATTGTTGGCGAATGTTTGTTGGATGCAATATACGTCGTCAAATACTTCAAAGCATTTAATTATTTTTGGATTTCTCTTGGTGAAACTTCACATGGAATCAGCATGGAATGAGCTCCTTCATCCTGCATCATTGGTCAACAATGTCAAGACGCCAAAAAAGCAATTGTTGTGACTTTTCGTCTATTGTTTTAAGAACCATTCGTTCCGTGGAGTAGTGGGTGACTTTCCCTCCTCCCTCTTCCCACGAAAAAATCGATCGATCAATCAATTAATCAATCAATCGATCGATCGATCAATAAACAAACAAACAAACAAACAGCCAGTGGCTTAGAGTGAGACGAAAGGAGATACTGCTCATGATCTAACATTTATTTGTTGGCATTTATTACTGAAACTGGTTAGAGATATTGTAACGAGGTTTTTGTATGCTTAATTGGTATGCTTGAAAATTCTAAGGGGTTTTAATGTTTTGTTACAGTTGTTATTTAGAGAGAGGACTGGAGTTTCTTCTGAAGTCTGCTGGGTCAAGCCTGTTGAGTCTGCACGTTGAGGACTGCGGTGTCTTTATTACGGACAGGTGCATTAGACTGATGATCTTGATGTTCTGTGTCCAGAATTTGAGACCTATACTTATCTCTGAGATATATGCAAGGGCATTTCCAGCTTCAAAATAAATAAGGAATTCTTAGTAATTGCAAAGATGAAAAGCAAACTTAAGATAACAGTCTACTAACTTAGGCACGTGAAACGATCCTGTTGAGATAAAAACTTCGTGGACATTACACTGAGATTTTCTTTGTTAAAAATCTCCCAGTGTAATGTTGTGGCAGTTTTTATTGATAGCACAGTCTCGAAGGAATCAAAGCACTTTGGAAAACGCACGGTTGTTGGTGTTGCTTTCATTTTGTTTGTATTGCAATCCACTTTCATCATCGATGTCAATAGTCGCATGCATTCTCCAAATGCGTCAGTTCTTCGATGAATCGACATAATAATAATAATAATAATAATAATAATAATAATAATAATAATAGTAACAGCAACAACATCAACAATAATAATAATAATAATAGTAACAACAACAACATCAACAATAATAATAATAATAATAATAACAACAACAATAATAATAGTAATAATAAATAATAATAATAATAATAATAATAATAAAAGCTTTATTTATACTGAACAACCGATCAGCGAATTCAATATAAAGACGCTGGTATGAACCGGTGATCAGTACATAAAATACAGTTGACTATTAATACTAGTTAAAGTAAAAAGTAAAATAAAAATGTACTAAATATGTACAAAAACCTATACACTACATTTGTGTTGTGCCTTATCTAATTCTGTTAAAAGGTTAAAAGTTTTAGTTTTAAAAATTCTTAGTGTTTCAAAAAGCACGCAGGTCTTTGGGGAGCGACCATCATCGCCGAATTTCATTAGGGAGGCAACTTCACTCCAATGCTAAGGCTCACACTCAAACGAATTGAGGCAATAGCCCTTCTCACGGTTAATTTTTCTCATTTGCATTACAATGTAATCCAACGTGGATGCGAGGCAAGGTCGGGCTAAAACTACAAAATAGCCCGAAATTGCCTCACATACATGCTAGATTTTATTGTAATGTAATTGAGCAAAGGTAACCGTGAAAAGGGCTATTGTTGTGACACTGTCCTCTGCACCATTCTACTTAATTAGGCCCCGTCCACACTACGTAGGAGGAATTTGAAAACGCAACAATCACCGGTTATTTTGGATTTGTGTCTGAGGAAAGTTCGGGCAGGGAAATCAAATGATTATCGTAACTACATCGTTTTCGTAAAGCTCCGTTTTCAAAATGTTTTCCGTCCACACGAAAACGAAAAGACGGCGTTTTCAAATTCCTGCGGTTTGAAGAGCGTTTTCGAAAAGCTCCATATTTGTGATTGATTTTTGACGAATTAGTGTGGACGGTAGGCCTAACCCTAGAAACAAAGCTGCGGTTTTAAATTTTCTCGGGCGTAGTGTGGACGCTGCCTTAAAATTGTCGGCACCATTCTAGTCACATCTCACATCTTGCGAATGTGAAAGAAGTGCCTGCACGTTGCGACAACGTCATGCATAAGCTTTCGTAACTATAGAAACCGTCTACCTCACTCCACCTCTCGGAGCAAGTCGACAGGAGAAAATAAAGCGGAAAATTTGATTTGTGACGTACTGTAATTCTGTCTTTTTAGGTGTTTGTCCCTAGCAGGTTGTCACTGCAGAGAATTACAGCAGATGGTTTACATAAGTGATTCGTTTCCTGCTTGCCCTGAGGCATTGTGGGCTTTGTGGGCGTGTCGAAAGCTTGTCACACTTCGAGTACCGCCAATGTTTCCATGGTAAGTCTGCTGAGAAATCCAGGGAACGAGGTCGGTTTGTTTTATGTTTGTGGTTATAGTTGACAGATAATTCATATAATCAACAAGAATTTACTTTTTCCTGTTAGTGATCATCCTGGACGGTTTAATGACAAGAGTCTGGAAACGATTGCAAACTGCTGGCCAAACATGCGCCATCTGTCAGTAGGCGGCCCCAGTCTCTCCTCGGCAGGACTTATTCATATCGGTAAACACTACCAACCCTCTTGTAGAATATTGGCTAATTTTTTTTTCTCCTTCTCGATGTCTTGACTGCTTCGTGAATGTTTGCTTGTTTACCCTACACACTAGGACTTAAGAGATTATAGTTGAATTTGTTCAAGTCACGTATGAATGCGAGTACAAAAATTAGGATTTACTGATTTACACCACGAGTGATATTTGAAAATTATCTCCGGCAACATCTGAAAGAATTTACAAATAGGCTCCTGATATCATGAGTAGTTTAAATCCTTAATTGCTCGAACTGTCACACGATTATTCGTAAGAAAATTACGAACCCGAATACCGTTAGTTTATCAGTGGTCTTTAGTCATTGCTGTCAATTTTAGTCTCTTTAGTTCTCTTGTTGCCTTCAGTTGTATTTAGTTGTACCTAGTTATATATTAACAATTCGTGTAAACATGACCCGCCTAGATTAGCTCAGCTATCCGCAGGCATGTTATAATTTTAATTTGAAAACAAAATAAAATATATGTATGTAAATGTATGTTTGTATGGACCCGCGCGCGTTAGTTTGTACAGCAATGCAAATAGAAAGTGAGCGATAAATGGCCTGCCCTCGGCCGAACACAGTGAAGTGCATTTCTGTGTTACAGTCTGATATAATCATTACTCTTTTATGGTGTTAAATAATGCGACTTTCCCAAAATCGCAGTATTGACCGGTTAATTCGTTCAAGGCTGTGGTAAACGTTTTTGCTGATCAAACTCCATTTTGTTGCACTGCGCAGTAACTTGGCTTCATGCGTTTCAAATTACGTTTGTTCATTCATCTTTCAGCCAAGGGTTGCCTGAGACTTCAAGAGCTGGAGCTTGATCGAACAATTGCGATTAGTGAAGAAATCGCCCATGCCATGTGTCTATGTGGACTAAGAGGCCTGGAAACTATCTCTTTTACCTTTACCCCAGTCTCTCCCGGTGCCATCAAGGAACTACTCGGTAATAGTTTATCTAAGATTCAACTTTATTACACGGCTAGCTCCGTCAGCCGGCAAGATGAACCAAATCCTGCGCTGTGATTGGCTACCTGAGTGGGCAAGAGGATGCTGTCTTGCCCGCTTGGGATTACCCATTCTGTCTTGGAAGAAAATAGTGTTCTTTTTCCATATAGTACAAACATTTATTGACCAAGCTTGTTCGGTCAGGATGGCTGGATATTGGCTTCGTTCTTTTTTTTTTTTTTTTTGCGAGTTTATGGACCTCGACTGGGTCTCGGCTTATAAACATACAAAAAAAGAACTTAGTCAATATCCATCCATCTAGACCTCACGCCTGATCAATAACCCATATATATTCCCGTTTGAAAAAAGTGGCGTTAATTTGTGTTGTTTGCCTTTACTTGTTCTGTTAGGTGCTTGTCCAAGGTTAGAACGCATCGAAGTGCACATTGGGATATCAGATTACCTCATGAATGTGAACGATGACGTCAGTAAAAGAAAATACTCGCGCATTGTCAAGAAACTTGCGGTAAACAATTACATGTCAATTCCTCTTTTCGTCATTACACTGAAGTAGTTGATCCAGTGCATTGTTAAGGGAGGGAAAGAACAACTGCGCACCCCAAGTCCTTGCTAATTATCTGAAGATTAACTTTGCCTCCTTCTTTCTACACTTAGGCTTTGAAACAAGAAAACCAAGAATTTGCTAGAGTCCTTTGGATAAAAGCAGATTATGGATGACTTTTTACCGTGTTAACCGGCCTACCGGTTTTCAAAAGACAAAGAAGCTATTAATGCAGAAACGCGAAACAATATGGAAAATATATTTATAGAATTATAGAATTTACAAAAATGGCATATTTATACACATTTTCGTTCTGCAATAAATTATCTCATTCTTGGAAAATTTGCCTTTTCTAGGTCACTACTTCAACGTAGACTTTCTAAAAGGCCTTTCCAATAATATTTCCATTGTTAGTTTCTCCGTTGGAAAGGTCGACCTTTCGCGACTTTGTCGCTCGCGCTCGCGCATTCGTCGCTCAAAGGTTTTCGTCGCGCGAAGATTACCCTCTCGCTTCGCTCGAGGGAGACAAGTAAGTCAAGGATAAAGACAAGGTCGACTCGTGGCAAGTCTATTTGAACGCTACATACTTGATTCAGTAGGCGTGACGATGAGCAACATAAACGCGCACCTTCCAAATCAGAATAGCCAGTCCACATCTGTTATTAATTGTTTTTGCTGCGAGTTATATTCATATCAAACTTTGTCTATTTTTGTGGTTTAAATTTTTTAAGACAATAAGCTTTTTGTTGTTTGCGCGAAAAAGGGAAATACATTGAAACTTCGACAGCCCGCGCGTCATGAAACAAATTTTTCCTTCCGTACCCCCGGTAAAATTGTCGTTGTTCTGAGCGAAATTTCCCTTACCCCACCCCGAGAAGGGTGATATTGTCAACATCTGGTCGTCAACGAAGATTTTGAATCTCGCGCTCGGAAATTTGCTACGCGTCGGTTCTTTCAAACGTTTGTTCTAGAAACAAAGGAGCCTCAAAGCTGCAAACAAAAATGCCCACAAAAGAAAGTTAATCCCAGAGCCATTGTCTACCAAAGATTAAACATAATGGCAGNGGAAATACATTGAAACTTCGACAGCCCGCGCGTCATGAAACAAATTTTTCCTTCCGTACCCCCGGTAAAATTGTCGTTGTTCTGAGCGAAATTTCCCTTACCCCACCCCGAGAAGGGTGAAATTGTCAACATCTGGTCGTCAACGAAGATTTTGAATCTCGCGCTCGGAAATTTGCTACGCGTCGGTTCTTTCAAACGTTTGTTCTAGAAACAAAGGAGCCTCAAAGCTGCAAACAAAAATGCCCACAAAAGAAAGTTAATCCCAGAGCCATTGTCTACCAAAGATTAAACATAATGGCAGAAGGCAACTATGAAGTTTGTTTCTAGATTAAATGAAGAGTGTTGATTTGTATTCGTCACCTGTCGTGCTTCAGGTTACGGGTCCTTTTCAAATCAACCTGCTACTGCTTGATTCACTTTATCTTCTCCAATTTGACCTTGCTAATAGCGTTCAAAGCAGTATTTCTTTAACACTGTTCTTGTCGCACTGTTCAGTAGACACCAATTTATTTGATTAGTCCGTCGTTTTAATGAAGTTCCCAAAGCTAAAATGTTTTGGAAATTTTCCGTTGCGATCAGCTTTTTCCAATGTTTATATTTTTCTTTTGTCCATCGGAATTAGCTTTGTCTTCTATACTGCATTATTCAAGAAGGTATTTTTGTTTGAAGAGGCGTATTTTGCAAACATGACTGTCGGACCCCGAATTGCGAGACGAGAACCAAGGAACAAGTTGATCTTGCTGTACACACCGTATTTTGGCGGAGGGTGGGTGAACGATCCAACGTTAGGGCCAGCTCGTCCAACATTTGAAGAGGGCCACGCCACATTCAAAGACTGTGAGATACCGACTTGTGTGGTGACATACAACAGAAGAAAGCTATCAGAGGCGGATGCCGTTGGATTTCACCACCGAGACATGCCTCGTCGTCTTCCGTCCCGGAGAACTCCTCAGCAAGTCTGGTTCTACTTTGTATTAGAAAATCCTTTAAACGTAGTTATGAACGCCGATGGCTATGCGGGCGTTTTTAACTGGACAATGTCTTACAGACGGGAATCGGAGATTTATACACCCTACGGCAAGTTCACACCGTTAAAAGAGGGTTCTGCGGAGTATTTCACCGGTCATGAATTAACTGGGAAAGATAAGCAAGTGGCGTGGTTGGTCAGTAACTGCAAAGCAAACAAGCGTATGGACTACGTTATGGAATTACAAGAATACATCAATATTTCCATATATGGATTATGTGGAGACAGAGAGGCCTGTCCCTTGAAACGTCGCTCGCCTAGCTGTAACTCGTTGCTAAGACGACACAAGTTTTATCTGGCTTTCGAGAACGGTAACTGTGAAGAGTACATCACGGAAAAATATTGGGAAAACGCGATTGGTAATGATATTGTTCCTATCGTCATGGGTGGCGCCGATTATAAAACGCTCGCGATTCCCAATTCTTACATTGATGTTGAAGACTTCGCGTCACCTAAACACCTTGCTGATTATCTGCTTTACCTAGATGCCAATGACACAGCTTACAAGGAATATTTCGTTTGGAAAAAACTATATCAACGTGTGGCACCGAACCGCGCTTGTACATTGTGCAAACAACTTCATAATAAGAGTCTTCTCACATTTCCAAGAGTATACAAGAACATGGCACGATTTTGGAATAGACACCAATGCAAAAGGCCAATTTTATAGACTAAACTACTGAACTGCCGGGAAACTGATCAAATGATCGAAATCTGCTGATCGAAGTGATTGTCACTTGACTTACAATGTAGATCATTGTGGCATAGAGAGAGAGCGGGAGCTCCTTATAGGAACTCATAACTCACACAAGAAAAACCTCTTAACGAACTACTATAGACAAGAAACGTGATGGATGTCATTCATTCTATATCTATTTTTTTTTTTTTTTTTTTTTTTTTTTTTTTTACAAAATTCAGCTGGAGATCAAGTACCTGAGGTGAAAGTGATAAAACACTCGAACAATGAAACTGACACGCATCTGGTATGTGGCACGCCCATCAATTCCATTGTCAATTTTTTCTTATTTATTCCTTAGCTTTCTATGTTGATTTCATCACTTTCAAATCACATTAGTTTTCTCATTTGTGTCAAATGTACATCATCAACACGCGTGCGGCCTTTAACAAAAAGCAACATATAAGTGAATACATGAAAGATCATGTATTTGAACTGCGGAGAAAGAAATGAAGACACGATTGATATCGCAGTTATAGCGGAGCTGCGCACGAGCGGAGCACCATACCTTAGGAAATTTGGTAACCCATCGATCTCCAAAGTTTTGGTTGTTGGGGCGTGACTCTCCGTGCGTGTGTCCGCTGAACAATTACGTGCTCACAATTGATCATTTTTTGAGTTTTTTATCCAAGAAAAACAAATCTCTTTTATTCAGGAGCTCCGCTTTTAGGCTTGGCTAAATCTATATATTATATACAACTTAAGGTTATTCCTCAGAATTGCATTGCGCATCCCTACTGCACACGATTTTCGCGTCATTGGCGCGCGCTCACGAGCGCGTGTGCACACACAACATATACAAAATGGTGGCTCTTGGCTTGCGAGAGACAAATCATCGTCGTTTTCTCGAAAACGAGTACCGGGACCTATTGATTTTTTTATTTAGTTTGAGTGCAGAGATCACCTTCTTTCTATACAGTGAATATGGACCAATTTCTATCGTAGAGTAAAAAATTATCACGGAAAATGAGAGCAGAGTTAGCACTCGTAAAAGATAATATGTGGCCCCAGAACACTGCGTGCTTGCAACATATCGTATCTCTGTCAATTAAATATGAGTGCCCTTATCATGAAACGTACATCAAATTGCTCCTTAACATTTATACAATACATCCATTGTTATATTTCTCGCTTAGCGTTCTCTCTATGTTTCTGCTCTCTTAATGCGTACGGTGAATGGTTCAAATATAAACGTTTCTGAAAGCGGATAATTTCAGGAATTATGTGGTTTATTGATGGTCCTCCTGCTCCTAAACGAATATGGGGACCCCCCTTTTTTATTTCAAATTTTAAGTTCTCTTGATATAAGTAGCCAACAGGCAAAGTTTGAAAGAAAATCTATTGTGAGTTTTATTTCGATGGAATTAACTTAAGCAGCTGTGAAAACAAAGCCTGAAAGAAATAAGTAAAATAAATAAAAAGAGGAGAAAAATCAGCTGTAAAATTTGCGTATATGACTGCGATGATAAATGATGTCTTCAAGAAGCAACACACTGGTATTTTACATCGATGCTGCAAAACAGCAACTGTTTTCTTGTAGGAACAACAGAAAACTAACAGCTTTTTTGAAATCTGGGGTGCTGGATCACGTGTTTTCGAGTTCGATCGGCTTAACGTCCTCTGGATATCAGCCATAATACCATGCCCGACAACTCAGTATAATCGATAAGAATCGTCTTCTGGTAGTGTTTTTTCGTGGTTATTTTCACTCGCGCTTGTTAACTCGGCGCCTTATTGGTTATCTACCACTTTCATTTCCATTTCGCGCGCTAGTGGAATAACTGTTACATAGAGCAGGCCTTAAGAAACTGTTTGTCCAGTTATTAAGAAAGTAATTTTGAGAACATTATATGGTTTAGAATTCTGCCACCATGTTGGTGTTATTCTTTGTAGTAGTACACTTTTCCCGTAGTACTACCTTTGAAATCGCACTATCACGCAATGCAAAAAATATACAGTAGAAACAAGACGTTCAGTATTTTACCAGTTACAGTTATTCTTTAAACTCTTAAACAGTTTTACACGCACAACACTAACTTAAGATTAATAATAAACTGTTTTTAGCTGCCATTCCCTGTAAGTTGTTTCGCAAGGTAACGAAAACAAACAAAAACACAATTTTGCCGCAAGCCTGTCTGTTTTCTGTTTATTAGTCACTTCTCCAATTTGATTCTTAAAATTGTATTCAACTGTCATCTGAGATGGCGAGAAACGAACTGTATTTGGGCCAGTCATGTTCATTCAAAGGCTGGTTTTCAACAGGGACCGAGTCGGACTCGTAGTCGGAGACGAAAGAGTGCTTACGACCTAGTGAAAATCGAAAATTGGAGTCGTAAGCGGAGTCATAAGCTCGTCGGAATCGGAGTCGGAAGAATCAGAACGTTTCCATTTCTTCCGATTCCGTTTACGACTCCGTCGCTTATGATTTAGTGAAAACAGATTATCGGACTCGGAAGCAGAAGCGAAAGAACCAACCAATCACAAGGCCCGGAATCGAGCATTGTGATTGGTTTATTCTTCCGGTTTTGCTTCCGACTCCGACAATCTAGTTTTCACTAGATCGTAAGCGACGGAGTCATAAGCGGAATAGGTGTTCTTCTTCCGACGCCGTCGGTTTGATTTTCACTAGATCGTATCGCTTTACGCTTCTGATTATGGCTCCGACTACGACTCCGTCGTTAGTGAAAACCACCCTTTACACTTTCTATGTTACTCGAACAATATGTGTACATTTTGAAAGGCAGTTGATGACAAAATTAGGAGTAATACTCCTTTAGCTCCACTTGTTTTAAATTAAAATTAGGATTCCCATTACAGCCAATATTTCCTTTGCTGTCCAAAACACTGCACATTTATCCCAATAAAACTCCTGTTATGTTGAACGCACTCTGTCTCCGATTGGAACAGAATTTTTCTTTACGGCGGGTAACAGAGAACGTCCCAACCTCGTTCCCAGGGTCCTCTTTCTTCCTTCCTCGAGTAAGGACCCTGGGAACAAGGTAGAAAACACCTTGCCCGATGTTGACATAAATATTAAGAGTTGAAATTCCTACTGTTTACTGACTATTCATTCAAAACAAAATCAAAAAACGGAAATTATGTTTCTACGGTTTCGAGCCGTGTTAACACAAAAAAGAGCGCATAAAATGGATTAAAGAAGCAAAGCTGTCCGGAAGCAATTAGATCGATCCCCCCGCCGCCGCAGTCGTTATTTTATATAGTAGTATTCAGTATTTTTGGTCGACAACTCCGTCATAAATTGTCGGAATGGAACTTTTGTTTCATGTTAATTCAGCTCCAATAACTATGATTCGTTTAATTGAAACGAAGGAAACGAAAATAATGAGTATTTGTACGTGTTACCTTTGACTTGTAAGGTGAGCACGTTGTGATAAACAAAGTGGTTAGCAGAGTGTTTTTTCGTTAAGTTTTATTCATTTTGCGCCTCGCTGTGACGCAGAGAAAACTAATCAGAATTACCTTAGTAACAAGCGCTGAGAAAGGAAGGCTACAAAGTGGGACACCGGTTTGTTTAATTTGTCGTGGACAAATTTATTTGACATGAAATTGTCTCGGATAATCCTCTTGTTTCCAAAATTTGAAACACTCAATCAAAATGAATTAATCGTCAACCCATTTTATTTCAAATTGAAATCATTTCAGTTTTATTTCTTTCTCGTGATCATTATTACTTTTTCTTTAATATACGATTTTAAGCGCGGCTTCTCTATAACAGTTAGTTGTGTTTTCAGATATCAGACCCATATTATTTCTCTTCAATTAAATGACAAAACTACCAGAAGGATGTTTTTTTTTAAATTTTTTTAAATTGAAAATTCTAAGGCGAGTAAATTTGCTATTTGTCGTTAGCTAAATATCTTTTGAGCTTCAAAGACATCGTACATGTATTCATTTCTTGAAAGGTTTCATTACGTCGATGTTTGCACACACGGAAGCTGTTTCAACTGAATTTCAGAAAGATTATTGATAAAAAAGTAACATAATCCACGGAAGTAAAAACAATTTACAATAAAATTTACTTTCCCAGCTTAACATTGTTGTTTTAAGTTCTGCCTTAAAGTAAATACTGGAAGCTATTTTTTCTTTTCTCTTCCGTGGAAATTTTATACGTCTTTAAGAGAACGTGCATTGGTCGATAATACTCTTTATCAACAAAAGGAAACTGCATCAGATAAGCCAGAAACCAGTCGTTCTAAAATGAGGCAATTGTATACTCTTTCGTTAGCGACAGATGATTACGGTAATTTTAATTTCTTTTAGTAGAAGAGTTTGCCATTAAATGATGCCATTGTCTGGTTGGCTGACACAATTTTCCAATAGCTGCTTCCTGGCGGTAGAGATTGTTAATTTGGAGGCATAATGGATAGAGGTAATGTCACAATCATCTGTTGGACGTCATCTGCTATTGTTTAAACTGAGAACTTGTCAATTTATACAGTAAGCAAATGGGAAAACTCACTGACACAGGTTATATCAAGCAGTGGCTAGATGTTGTTTCGCTCACACAAAGGACTTGTGAAACCGGTGCTTGTTCTCAGTCCAACGAGTTTCGGGGATCAATTTGGAAAAAAGAACATTGCGAGAGAAAAAAGCGCGAAACTGAGTCATTCGCGGGCTCGTGTGACCAAGCTGATTCATTAGTCAACGTTATGAATAACATTTGTCCCTATTGTCGGGCAAATGACGAGTTTCGACGATAAAGCTTTTACTGGTTAACAGTTTCCAGAAATCGCAATTATGAAAGAGAGCCTCGAATCACACGATCATGATCATAAACATATTGAAGAGATTCCAACGGTGGCGCTTTTGGCAGGAATTTTTAGTTTGTTGTTTGGCTTACTTGCGTTTTCAACAAACAGTCTTCTGCTGTTTACTGTCTACAAAGACCCACACAAGTGTTTCCGAACGCGCGCTACTACATCTTTTGTGGTTAGTCTCGCGCTAAGTGATTTTATTGGGGGATCTTTCGTACAGCCCTTGTATGCAGCGTACATGTTTTGCGTCGCAACTGGAGTCGAGG